ACTTATAATATTATACTGACTGACTATTTAATAAAAAACCATTAATAGCTAAGACATTTAACTCATCCGGAGATGAACTCTCATAGAATGAATAAAATCAAAACCAATGCTTAGGATACCTCATAAATTCCAGATAATAAATGCTGTCATTTATTGTCATTTAATGCTAGAATTTATTGAGCATGGAAGAAATTTTAGAAAGGGGTGTATGCACTTATTGTAGTTTATTTTTAAATATATATAAAAGTAAAAACGCACAGAAGGATTTTTTTTCCCTTTGTTGGATTTTTTTTAAACTGTAACACCAGCAGTTCACTTCCTTACGAAGAGTACTTATGGATCGGGGAAAAAGTTACACACTTGCCCTTGGAAAGCTACAAGATAACATACAAGGAAAGACAGGCATGAGAGTAAATAAACTAGAATTCTGTGATCTGTAAGTGATATATATCACCCTTTCCTATTTTAGCACTTTCTTCTTCTCTTTCCAGCTCTCATTTTCTTATTTTATTTCCTATTTCTACATATTCTAGTTTTCCCTTTCTCAGACTTTCTCATTAAATGATAAAGTAATCAGGTCCTCAAAGAAAATCTTCTGTTGTCATCATTTTTTTCTGAATTCCAGCAAACTGTTCATCCATCCATCCCTTCTGAACTCCCTGTGTTCTCTCCTCTCCCACTCTTCTCTGTACAGATAAACTTGCACTGTACATTCTGGTATTCGCTGGCATTGTTTTCCTGTAGTCTTGTGGAAGTCTGCCACCAGCTATAAAGACCTATAGAAGATAGTAACAAACTTTCCTTCTGAAAACTCTTGACTGAGAGTGGAACAGTTATCAGTGAACTTTCAGGAAAAAAGGGAATTAATATGGACAATACATGCAGATCAGTTTTACTTAATGTTGCCAGAGAGGAAGAACTAGCTCAGATACTATAAATTTGTATTTTAAAGAAAAGTTTTTCAATATAGAAAATACTGGTTCTAGTGTAAAAAAGAAAAGCTGCAATTCTGGATTTCCAAGCCTAAGAACAGATACTAAGAGATATTAAAAATGAATGAAATTATATTCTCCTCCTACAAATGAGTACATGAATCCAAGAAAATAAAAGAGTTGTCTGTTACCAGGCAAGGTTTTTAACTACCTGGTAAATCTGAAGAACCTATTTTTAGAAAAACTTAAGAAAATACCAAAATAAACCTCAAACTTTGGAGACTTATTGCTGCTTGGTTCACTGTACAGAACATGATGGCCACTGGCAGAGAAACTATGGAATATTTTCTTCTTCTTTAACATGAGTGACACTACTAAATACACAGTTTACAATCTCTCATGAAAGAAAGACTAAATTCCTTCTGCTTTTTAGAGGCAATCTAAAAATGTAATTGCTTGTTTCACAAACTTGAATTTATCTCCTAGACCACTCGATGAAGAATACAGGGGGAGAGGAGGTATAATGTCTACTGTGGAAAGAGTTCATTGATTACAGGTGCCTGGCTGAGTTTTCAGAATGCTTTGCTTTACACACACTTCATGCAATGATGAAATTCATTGCGTGCTTCAGAGGTCAGACATTCCAGAAAGGTACCCGTATAATGACAAACTGACAATTAGCAAGTAAGACTGTAATTTATGCTTTGAGTTGCTCACTATCACGTGAGAACCACACAAGGGAAGCAGGAAAAGATTCCAGAGCTCTGGCACCGCATTGAGCTGTCACAAGCAGGGAACCCTCCTCCTCCTCCCTTTCCATTTACCATGCTCTTCCTATTCTGCAAAACTGAGACAGGCCCTAGAACAGAGGTCCTGTTTGAAAAGTTAAAGCGCTTTTACTGTTCAGATGTGACTCATCAGCACAGCAGAGATTAACATAATATAGAAGTCCAGCAGAAAAGACAGCACGTTACCATCTAATTAAAAATTGTATGTTGCTCCTAGCTTGCTCTTGCTCCTTGGCTCCTGACTGCTCTAGTTATCCTTCTCCAAAACAAGGGCTACAAGCAGCTCTAGGAATGGCTGAATGCAGTGGACTGCTCTCAAAATACTACGACAAACTGACTGCACAAATATCGGACACTTCTGCTATATACAATACTCCAAATCTATTTAAACTCTGCATTGCCAAAATGCTACTCTAGCCTTTGTGCTCTACTTCACGACATTCAACACATATCCTCAAGTTCACAATACAGAAACATCATGTTGGTAGGCAGTAAAGCAGTTCTCACTTTTTTTTTTTTTTATTCTTTGAATTAAAAAACAAGCATCAAGTAATAACTATGTTTTAAGAGTCACAGACTTGGTCAAATGGTATGTAATGCAGATACAGTCAGTCTGATTTAGAGAGAACTAGACTTAAATAGTGTGGAATGGACATGAGCTAGCCTGTGACACAGCCTCAGAGAATGGTCCCTGCTCAAATGGTCCCTGTTTCACAGAACAGCCACAACCACAGAAAACAATTTAAGATTTCACAGTCATCCTTAATTCTGTCATTTCTTGACTTCTAAATACTTGCAAATTTGATGTTCTTTTAAGACAGCTTTTTAAGTGTTACATACGCCTAGAAAAAAGATGTAACATTAAAATACAGGCATGTTTAGAGATGGACAGAAGTTAAACGTGTTGATTAGAACCTAGATTTGCCTACAGTTTTGATATAAAGCCTATGCTTTGATATAAAAGTATATCTGGCTCTCCGTTGTCTAGAGTTTTCCTGGATCAAGATGGAATAGCATATGATCAAACCTTGATCAGTCCATGCACTACAGGGGAGCTACACCAACTACAATAAGAGGCAGGAAAATGTTGATGCCTTTAACTTGTTCACGGTCTGTCCCAAAGTCACCATATAATTTTTTAACCTCATAAATAAAAAATAATTTCCACACTAATATTCCTCACACATGCTGATTGTCCCTTTTTTTACTTTCAGTGAGAAATTCTTTAACTGTTTAGTATTTTGTTATCCTTTGATGTAGAGCAAAATGTCTCTTCTAAAGACAGAGTTCAAGTAAATATGACTTCAATAACAGACTTCATAATGAGGCCTACAGAAATAAACAAAGCCATGCAGTGGTTTCATTTCTAAGTTTTCTCAACACTTCATATTTATACTAGCCAAATTTTCCAGTTACGGTCTCTGTCTCTACAACCTTTGTCTCCCTTTTCTTTTTCCCTGACTCAGCTCCTTTTTAGAATTGTGTCTTCTTTTGGCATATGGTGAAAGGTGTTTCATAAACTGGGGGGAATAGGAGGTACTCGTATGGAGAAAGCAGATACAGTTTTTAACATGAATTATAGCTACAATGCAGTATTTATTCCCTGAGCACAGAGCTCAGTGAAAATAAGTGACCAAAGTATATGCTCATACTAAGCTGAAAGAAAGAAAAGTGCCTTAGCCACCATAAGTTACCAAAGAAAATCCTTCCCTCCAAAAAAAAGTTTCAAATTAATAAATGTATGCAGTTTTCAGGGATCCACAAATCTTCCCTTAGAAGTTAATTAATTAAGTCAAAATGTTTTAATCTAGACAAGTGCCTACTCCTTCAGAGCCAATTATTTCTTCTACTGTATATTGCTGAACCTGTGACATGACAATGACCTGCATGACAGAAGATCCATGGCTGAAGTCTTGTCTCTACCTAAATCAATGGGAGTGTTCCCATGACTTCAAAAAGATCATTAACTCATTGCCATCATAACAATAGGATTTGGCAGTACTTGAAAGGTTCTGATACTTGGAACTGTCTTTTACTATAAGCTAGGCACTTCCCCTCTTTATACTTCTTTAAAATGTTCCTTTTCTTACCAGACTCACCACTATTAAAATAGTAGTTAAAAAAGCAATCTGTCACCCAGGAATCCAACAAACGAACAATAAAAATACCTGAGAAAGTTGGCACCTTCCTCTATTTTGTTTCAAGACTTTCTCTATTTAGCAGCACAGAAGAGAATTTGTGCTGTCCTTTGTGTATTACATATGGGTAAGCAAACAGCTGTATTTAAACAGCAAACAACTAATAACATCCACAGCAGGTTCCAGCAGAAAGATGACTCACAATGGTTCTAAACATGAATACCTCCAGTAGCCAGAAAAAAAAGGACAAATATTTGGTCCAAAGGTTCTTTAAAAAAATATGGGCAGTGCACAGTGCAGCAGAAAACTGAAATTCTGAGGTGGGATTTAAAGTGCTCTCCCGTATCTTCTGAAACAGAGGTATGCTGGGGAGATGATGCATTCAATCTCCAGAGAGAAGAAAGATACTGTTCACACAGCACTTCTACTCACCAGTCCTTGCAGCAGCAACGGTGTTGGCTTTGAAGGAAGCCAACTGTCCTGCTCTCCCAGCCAGAGGTAAAGAATTGCATTGGTGGCCACTAGAGGGAGGATTAGGAATATAGTAAATTGTGGGCAAAAGGCACCCATGATGAATCACATGGGACGACCTACAAATCCCCCACCGCTGCCAAAGGGCAACAATTCTCAGATACTGCTATGGGCTGGTAAGTATAATCCAGTTGTTATCATCTGCTACAGAGGAGCTGCCAGTATGCATCCTGAACTTTGGTGGCTGGAGGATAGGAGGGCTGACTAGGATCATGTGAAGCATACCTACAAACACACAAAGACACATCCCTTTATTTACAGTTGCCTTATTCACCTTCTGGTTTTTAATCTCCTTACTTAAAACTTCTGATGTCCTTTATCAAGAAAGCTCCTGTGAAAAGCAAACATACCAGCTTCACGAGAATCTCAGAAGCATCAGCAGAGACACACACACGCTGCCAAGATACACTGTATTTAACAAAACCATCTGAACATATTAAGTGTACTTGAAAACAACAAAATCCGTTGTGATAAAATAAATGTTCTTTCACTAAATTAAGGTTTGAGGCATGTCTGAAAGAAATGTTTTCAATTAGTTACCCAGATAATTACGTAGTTAAGTGTATCTTGCAATTCAGTTTACCCTGTAGCTTGACTGCCTGGTGTCTTACCTCCAGCACAAGTGGCAGAACATTCTGACCAAGGCAGATGATTCCATGCAAAGCCAACTTCATTGTCTCCACTGCCAGTGCGAGAGATGGGAACATTGAATTTATACCTTATACCCAAATTTTGTTCCTGTAGCAGAATCTGTAGTTGAAAACAACTGGTTATACCATTAAAACAAGCAAGCAGAGGGCAACTATAGTGACATCTAATCTAGGTATATGTTCTGTCCTGTGGAAGGGAAAAAAGTAATTAAGGAAGCCTTAGTAGTTCTTTTAGGTATTCCCAAAAGAATCTGGACTGACTTTTAAAACATACACAAATGAGAAGTATTACTGTCTAAGATCAGCTTTGTCTTTTTTTCCCCCTTAACACAACTTTGTAACTTCTGTCAGTTCTTTACTCTTGACATAATTGTTCTAAAAAGCCAGTTTTAATAAAACTAATGTCTTAATGGACATAACTTGACAGCTGAATAATTATGTGAGGTTGAAGTTGGTTAAGGACATTACTGTGCAAACATGCAGCAGTCCTCACTGAAATCTTGTGAGGAGCTACCCACATAGCAGTTACGAACCTAGCTCTGCCCTTGTTTGCACTCCTAGTGACTATAATAATAGTAATAATAGTAACAGCAACACACTGTTGCTGAGGTAATTGTTTTCCCCTAATGCAATAGCCAAGAGCGTTAGCTTGGTAGAATCACACCTGTGATTCCTTTAAATGAATATCAAAACTCTCGCTGCAGCTGTTTTACTGCAGGTGATATATCAATATCAAGGCAACAATCACCGTGAGTTTTTGTCTACCCTCACTGTTGAACTCCACTTCCACATACCACCTGCCCAACACTAGCCTTTGACTTTTTATCAAACTTCTTCTTTCTGTTGCTAATACCATATATCATGTTAGATGCAGCAATCTGACCCATCTTAGAGCTAATTCTCATCTCCTTCTACCCTCTGTGATACTTTGCAGAGGCATATCTGCCTATCTCCATTGGACAAAAGAGCACAGAATTTTCAGTAAGAAAGTCAGTGGCACTGACTGGATGAAAGAAGGCACCATAATCATTGTGTAACTCATTCTGTATGGACTTTCTAGCTTGTCTATACCTACAGAAGAAAAACCAGGGTTTAGGTGTTTGAAAATGCTGCCTAAAACGTGAATATCCAGGCAACAATCATTCTATACACAAAAATATCCCTTCTGGATCAAGCAATCCCTGAACTGCAAATTTGGCACCTGACAGAATATACTGGGTAAGTGTCACCTTGTTCTTATACTCCTCCTCAACACAGCAGCGCAACAGTAAGCTCACTACGGCCTGCTGTCAGACACAGGGTATCGGGATCCTGGTCACATCTTCTGTTACATTTTGTACAATCTGTTCAGAGCAATGTATGTCACAGCAACATACTTTAACACGGGTCAAGTCATGATCCTCTTGCTGTGGTAAGAGTATACCTCACATTCCAGCCAGGCTTAAAACCACTGATATCTACAGAACTGTCAGGAACTGTCATGCTATGTATCTCAAGACATCCATGTATCAGCAGTATGCAAAGATACAACATATGCCCCATTTAGAATTTCGGCTACCATTATTCCAAACGACATTTAACAGAGATGGCACATTTTCTGTGAGATTTCCTGGGGCTCTTCTGACTTTATCCCTGTTTCATCACAATGTTTGGCAGTCAGTTTTGAAAGGCAAGAAAGCTGTGTTAAAATGCAAATGCAAAGTCCCAGCCAGGCAAGCTGTATACTCTTTGAAAACACAACCTATTTTGATTTCATTCATGGCCTTGTCTTTTCTCAGAACACAAATATATATTTAAAATTTCAGAAATATATTAATTATAACTTTACCATGACTATGAGATTTTCTGAAGTAGGGCCTAGTGCTTCCAAAGACTCTGGTTCATCTGTTGGCCTCTTGTAATGGAAAGCTGTTCCAGCAACATCAAACTTTCTTGGCCAGTCAATAGTCCAGGCACCATTAATATAGTAGTCATCTTCTTCAGATTTTAAAGCTTAAAAAAAAATACAAGCCACCTAAAAATTGGAAGCAGCATTTATAATGGAGAAGCCATTGCAAATTAATCTACTGATCTGTTAGAAGCATGTGAGCTTCAGCTCAATATCACCATTTTTTCAAGCAATATAAAGCCTTTTCTTTAGCCCTGGTCAAAATATCCCTCATGCATTTGACAATACTGCCTCTGCCATAATCCTCAATGTGCAGATATACTTTGCAGATTTCAACATGCAGATGCTACATGGAACAACCAGAATGCCTCACACAAATTGCAATATCTCTTCACCTTTAAAACTGAACCCATGTGCAATGTATGCTGGTCTACGTAAGATATATGTAGGTCTCAAATGTATAATCAATTATCAATCTAATCTTTAGATTAAGAAATTGGGGCATGGGATAAGTATCTCAGATACTGTGCAGAGGAAAAAAAAAAGGAATATTGAGTCTGGCATACAGTGCCAATCAGTTCTTGCTTTGTTGCCTTTGTCCACTGTTGTTTCTTTTTTTTCCTTCTGGAAGCATAAATCCAAGATATTTCTACTACAAACCCAAATACTAGCTACTTAATCTGATATTTTATTATTTCTAATTAACAGCCATAAATCATAAAAGTACTGTAGATAAAACATAAACTTCTCAGCTAACCAACCAATTAGGCTGGACAAGCATATATTATTCAGGGACTTATTTTTTATATTTTATCAATAATATTAGATTAAGTTTTTAAATATGAAACTGACTTTGTATCTTAAGGTAAATATTCTGTTAATTAGATATTGACTTCTTCAGTTAAGATGAAGATCACCAAGTTATTCAGCATTCATACTTACTTTAAATTAAACAAGTTCATAAAGGCAAAATGATGGTTAGAAATACATGATCAAAGAGCCATGTCATTTTTTGTTGAGACAAGTAACTGACTTTACTAGACAAGGAACAAACTCACATCACAATCATAAGGAATAAGACAAGAATAAGATCAAGCTTTATTCTCAACTACATCTGTGTGGACAGATGGTTTACCTTAAACAGTTAGGGAAAATGTCTCAGTGATGCTCAAATTTTCTAAAACAGATCAGAGAGCATTCATATGAGCAGGAATTAGTTAGAGAGGCAGTAATGTTCTGTTGGTGACAGCCACATTCAGCAGGGATTAAGTAACCATTTCCATCATCACCATAAGGTCTGAAAAGGAATGTCTTTCCATAGCATAAATCTTATTCCATTGGATTTACTTTGGAAACACTCATGTGCTTTAAGTGAAGAAACTAGCTCTGACACATTCACTTATCTGGAATTCTCAAAGTAATTCAGATCCCTTATTGTCTATATTGGTTTTGTAGTACAAGGAGATGATAAAAAAAGTAAGTATAGGAGAACAAGACAAATTGCAAGGAGTACTGTACTAAAAGAAAGGAACAGTACTCTTATCTATTTTACATGGGTATATGAAGTAACTATGTTACAGCTGAATGTGAGTATTTTGTTTTATCAGTGGTCCTATTTCCACATAGCCAAAATTTCTATCCATCTTGCTTTTACAAAATCTAGCTTAATTAAAAGAAGGTCGCGGGGTCTCCCAAAGCTACCACAATGTATTAAAGTCTCTCTTACTGTGCCACTCAATCCAAAACATTTTCTTGTTACCATGTCTAGTATCTACTAAGAGCAAATAATGAAGTGAATTCTTTATATTACTTGAGACATATGAACAACAAGACATAGAAATGAGCCCAAGAGAACATTCTCATACATGTTTATGTAATTAAAAATTCTGAAATTATATGCTATCAATTGTATGTATGCTATGTACACTTAAACTAATGTATATCCAGAAGCAAAGCAGTTCATTTTTTACCTTTCTGACTAACAAAGAAAAATGCACTTGCATTCTGTAAATAGATTTACCTAATGTCAGTTGTTATGCATAGGTGAAGGCTGCACAGTTGTGTATAGCATTCCAGTGACATAATTGCATGACAATGAAGATGCAGTGGCATAATGCTATTAGCACATGAGACAGCAGGAACAAATTCATGTCCTAATCAACTCATTTATGAGAACTTGAGAATGCAGGAAGCCCACAGAGAATTACCACACAACACGTTGTTGCATAAGGAGAATATAAGGGAAGATGTCACCCTGGATCAACCCATTTAAGGGAAGGTAACAGCATTACTAAACACACATCTTTTCAGCAGCTCTGAAAACAAGCAATTTTGTGGTTATTAGGTTATTTGTTGGACAGATCAATTTAAAATACTGAATTATTTATGCAGCTGCAGAAACATGCCTTTGCTGTCACAACACTATGTGATGTGATCAGCCAGAGACAGGGGGAGGGAGGACAGGTGCTGATTGAGCTAGCCGAATTGCCAAATGTCTAACTGCAGCCTGAATTTGAGGCCATTGCTTGCAAAAGAACTAGATCTTACTTTAAGGAACTATGGGATGTTTGTTGCAAGTTAGGTTGAAAGCCTGCTAACTGAAATGAACAAAGAAGAAACTTTGAAGCCAGTGTGACAGCTACAGAGGAAGAGGGGTTTATTTTTTCCTTTTTTTGTATACTTCCAAATGGAGAAATTGATTTCTTAGACTTTGGTATTTGGCAGCAGTTCACATAAAACAAAATACAGTAATATATGTAAATGGTTATTTTCAGATGAATCAGTTCTCTGATCTGGCTCATGGTGTGGCCACACAGCTGTCCTGGAACAACAGAGGGAACTCCGTAAAGACAGGAAAGGAGCTGTGAAGTTGACACTGCCGCTAAAGAAATAACCATAAAACAATATTGCTGAGGTATGTATTTTAACATAATAAACTCATTTTTAACTACCATTGTGCTTGTACAGTTCTTTTAAGGGAGCAGACAAATTAGAAGCCTTCCTTTCCCCAGAAACTGGTGATCCTAAAATAGTGATCCGGTTCACACTCACAGAACAAAACATCCCATCACAAAATAAAATGGCCCCTGCGACTTAGTAAGATTATCTTTCATTAGGATATAAGGGCACCTTTGAAAGTTGGAAACACAAGAAACTAGTGAAGGAGAGGAATCCCCCATTTGTGTAGTGAGAGCTTCTATGGCATGAAGCAAGGTAGTGAGGAAACAGCCTGAAACTCAGGAAACCCCTTGAAATTGTGACAAGCACATAAAAAGTGTTTATGTACCACTTCACATTTTTAGATCTGTGGCCAGATTAAATACCAATGAAGTTGTCTGTATTTTTTATTTAAGCCAAAAAATTTACATTTTTCATTCATTTTATACAGATGGTGCCAACCTAAATGCTTTTCCAGATCACCACCTTCTGCTTATGAAATAGAGGAATAACAAACTTAATTGTAGTAGCTAAGAGTTATCTTCTCTGTTGTGGTTTTCAGTTGCCCACGGAATAGTTCTTAGCAGAAAATGACCATGATAGGATGCCTTGTATGCCTCTCTCCCAACACCTCTGTTTGAAATGTCAAGGATATATGAGCAACCTTACCTGCAGCACATTTTTACAAGGGGGAGGGGCCATGGGGAGTGTGATGCTTTAAGAATAATAAGCACTCTACTGCTGGAGTAGTGGTGTTATTACTGTTGCAGAATGGAGGGAGATTGATTATCTACTGAATTACAGAAGGGTGGGGGCGGTCAAAAAGAAAAGTAGACAGCAGTAAAAGGTACCATTATTATCAATATAATCAATTTAGAAATTAATGCACCTAGAAGGATAATTGCCCTTCTAACTCACACTCACAGGTATCATAATCCTTTCCAACATGTTAGTGTTATACGTATCAACTACATGGAATATCGACTGACAAGGTAGCCTCATCAGCTGCTTTTCAGCCTAAACAGGTAATAGCTTTTGGTTGTGTTAATCTGTTAGTTTGCTGTACAACTAATCAGCTCTCTAATCTATTTTTGACTAAGAAATTAGTGTTCTTGCACTACTGTGAACTGACTGCTATGCAAATCAGGGTACAGAGACTTATGCATGTTGTTTGACAAAGCTGGATTTGTATGTATCAGTATTAAAAGACCAGAAAGCAAATTTAACACAGTCTTTGAAGAAAGGAATAATAATCTGGGAATTTGAATTTAATTCTGTGCTTTACAACAGGCTTCCTGAATGATCTCAATTAAGCACCCAGTTTTTCTGCACCTCATCTTCTTTATCTATAAAACAGGGATGGCATCTAGTCCCTACAACACAGCAACACAGCAACACTGTGGAATGAATACATTAAATTGCCTTAAGATTAAGGAGACAGTACTGTTAGCATTTAAGTAATTATGGCTGTTAATTATAATCATTCTAAAAAATTGTGTTTTAAAATAGTATAATCCCCCAAGATCAGAGACTTGCCAGATGGAAGACACTACCTCAGAGTGGGACAGTAGATCATTCGAGTGTCTCTCATCCACTTCAGCTCAAGTCTGACACTGTGACTATAGTGAAGTTGACCTGATTTTGCACTGAGTGGACAAGGAGGAATCATATGATATATTTCATTAGCTCCATTCGAGAGCATACATCCTAACCAACTGCTGCAACTGTCTGATCATAACCTAATATTAACAGCTAACAATTCCCTCTGCTGCTATGTGTATGGTTTGGCCAAACAAGAAAATGTACCTTCAAATCACAACATAAATTCTGACTTATAACAGTCTGCTATTTAAACCATGCTCTCACCAATGTAGTTCTTTGACATTGCCACTTCTCTTATTTCAATGTGCACAGAACCTCTTGGAATTTGAATCACTTCCATATAGCCTATAAGACAAAGGTAAATTTTATTTGTTGTTGTTTATGTTAATCAATATTACTCATGAAACTAACCATTAATAATTTACTACTAAAAATTAGTAAGACATAGGGGATTCAAACATACTTGAACATTTTCTTTCATGTGATGTAAAGAAAAACTCTTTATATTTCATATAAAAATTTGAAAGTGCTAATAAAGTCTTTTCAACAATGTATCACAAGTAATAATGTATAAAATGAACTCAGGATCATAGGATACTTCAGGTTGGAAAGGACCTCAGATAGTCATTTAGTCCAACTTCCTGCTACAAGCAGGGTCAGCTAGGAGATCAGATCAAGTTACTCAGCGCTTTATCCTGCTGGGTCATGAAAAACTCCAAAGATGGAAACTCTACAACCTTTATGGGCAACCTGATCCACTGCTGGACTGTCCTCCTGGGGAAAAAGTTCTTCCCTCCATTTCGTCAGCACCTGTCTTGTTTCAATTTATAGTCATTGTCTCTTCTTCCACCACATACCCACCACTGTGAAGAGCCTGGCTCTGGCTTCTCCATAACCTCCTCATACATATTGGAAGGCTGATACTAGGTCCCCACAAACCTCCTCTTCTCCAGGCTAAACAAGTGCAGTTCTCTCAGCCTCTCGTCACAGACAGGGAAGTACTCCAGACCCCAATAATCTTAGTGGTCCCTCACTGAACTGAACTCATCCCGGTGCATCAATCCTTTTCCTGTATTCAGGAGCCCAAAACTGGTAAGACTAAGACTGCAGCACTAATACTGTCTTTTTTGAGCTAAGCTTTAAACTAACTGTCCATATACATTTCCTGAGTTCTTAATAAGATTAACTTGAGAGACATTTCTGGATTCTTTCTATTCTAAAATTTCATGTATGACTAAATATCAGATTCTACCATACACACTAAAACAATATACAATATTACTCTTACTATACCACCATAACTGAATAATAATTAAAAAAAAACAAAACTCACTTCTTTTTAAGTGCAGTAAAGACCATGAGAATTAAGTATCCAGTAATGAAACGTATTGTGGTATTTGACATAAATCTAAACTAATACAGAAAAAAAGAAACGAGGCAAAAGGAGTCAAAGTGACTGACCAGCAGCAATGCTATGCTGGAAATCAATGCAGCACTGTTATCTGCTAAAGAGTCATCTAAAAGCATTGTGCAATAGAATGGACATATATGTGCATACCTCCTCTGGGCAATGAATCATTGAAGAAACCTTCAATGGCTTCACATGTACTCCCATCTCCTCCACAAACACGGCATCTATCTTCCTTAGCATCAGACCCCAAAATATTATCACAACCTACATGCTGAGAACAGATAAGAACAAATATTTTAACAGGATGATGGTCTTGCACCACTATATTCATCGTTTTTTTGAAGTCTTTCTCTCAAGTTTGAGATATTCAGTTCTTTTTATCTACTCTGGTTTTGGTAGCTGTTACCATAAGTGGGTTTTCACTTACCAGAGAAAGAAAATAAAAAAGGAAAACAATCCACATTTTCGGTTGTTACCAAATCTTGATTAATAAGTACTTTGTATTTCTACTGTGACATTCAGGAAGGGATCTCACAGCATTTTATAAACAATGTAATTACTGCAGTTATCAATAAATGATTATTGAAGTTTTTGTTTAATATTACAACAGCTGTGTTCCATCTATATTGCTTTGTTAAGGTACATATTTGCTGTGTGTTCCTTAGACATTTATGCAGCATAAATGGTATTATTGTTCCCAAAGGCATTTACAGCTTCATAGACCATATTTCCACATCATCCAGGCAAAACTTGCAATTATTTTCCTAAATTTGAATGTAAAGTGTAAATGAGTTCACTGTAAGAATGAATGCAGAATGAAACTTAGTGAAAGGCTGAATTACATGCTGTATTAGATTGGATTCAAAAGCCCTTGGAAAAAAGAGGTGTCTATAACTGATCATAAAAAGTACATTACATTTCTGATTATCTGCTTGAGAAATCTATGCACAGTGAACAATGATTAACTCCCTGTAACTTACTGATTCAACCCTACTACAAAGCTAATGAAAATAGACAGCTAGATCCTTAAAAAAAAAAACAAACAAAAAACAAAAAACCCAACCAACCAACAAACAAAAAAGAGAGAACGAACAAGTAGGATGTAAATAGGACAAACATTGCAGCTTGCCAATTTTTTCCAGGATTTATACAAAAAAAGAAGGCATCTACATATCTTTGTTTACTGTCTAGCAATATTATCTACCATTTTGTAACAGGTAATACATAGGTCATAAGAGAAGTCAAAATACTTCAAATAATTGACAAAATAGTATTATTTTAACCATTTATATTTCAACTTTCTGATTCACCAAGAAGACAGAGGCCCAACTTTATTACATAGCTCATTCTCAACTCAAGATTTAGTCTGATTATTAGTTTTAAAAGATTTTTCAAATCTACTAAAATCTTCTTATGTCTAAAGTACACCAGATTTCCACAGGCTATTTCTTCTGCTTTTTTTTTTCCTGTCAGTTTACTAATACTTGACAAATGCTTTTGATCTCATGGTATTATTCAATAAACATACATCTTCAGCACTCAATTTAGCAAAGAACTTAAGCATCGGGTTAAGCTTTAGTTATGTTAGTGGTTTCAGTGAAACCAAATAATTTTTAGAGTCTCCAGCACTGTTCAGATGTCTATACTTAAGTACATAATTAAATGCTTTTCTAAACTGAAGAAGCAGTGGGATATATATAACCAAAAATACGGCACAGACCTCCAATTCTATTCAAATTCACGTAATGCAGTTCTATAGGAATCTTACAAGATAATCAGACTTCTAGTAAATGGCAAATACTTGCATCATTAATCATAGAATGGTTTGGGTTGACAAGGACCTTAAAGATCATCTAGTTCCAACCCACTGCCATGGGCAGGGACACCTTCCACTAGACCAGGTTGCTCAAAACCCCATCCAACGTGGCCTTAAACACTTCCAGGGATGTGGCATCCACAGCCTCTCTGGGCAACCTGTTTTAATGCCTTACTAGCCTCACAGTGAAGAACTTCTTCCTGACACCTAATCTAAATCTACCCTCTTCCAGTTTGAAGCCATTACCCCTTGTCCTATCACTAAATACCCTTGTAAAATGTCCCTCTCCGGCTTTCTTGTAGGCCCCCTTTAGGTACTGGAATACACTTTTTCCTAGAACTACAGAGCAATAGTGACAACTTTTTGTTTCAATTACATTAACAGCAGAATTGTTTGCAACAGGATGAACTAGTTAGAGAGAAACACATTAATATGTTCACATTTACTGTTTTTCAGCCAGAGCGGTGTTCTAATTGGAATGATGGAATAGGCCTTGGAACAATGCAAGGAATCTGTTCATCTCCTGTTGCCCTTTCCATCAATTCTTCAACAAAAACCATAAAGCAAGAAAAAAGAAGACAAAATGAAGGATTCTATGAATGTCTGTGAGAAGCTAATGAAATTCAAATTATTTGTCTAATTTATGCAATTTTTTGTCTCAATCTTACACTTTCATTAACAACTTGACCTATCAACACTCCCGTTTCACGTAAGTAACAAACAAGTACCGTAATTAAATGTAGGAGATAGAAGACACAACAAAATAATCCATAAGTACTTCATAAAACATTTGTAACCTTGCATTCTCCATTGATACAGATATCCAGTGAATCAGCATTGCACTGAGTCCCATCTATTACTGCAGGAGCACGTTCAGTGTAAAAATTATAACCTTCAGCCAAGCAGTTCAATGCACATGGTTTAACCCCACCTGGACAACAAAAACGAATGAAAATAAAAAAAATCAACAGAAATCTTGAAAAGTTAACAATTAGTTTAAAAATATATATGCATAAACTGATCTGAAACTTATAATCTTATCTCATACCTGACACATACAATGTATACACTTTATTTAACTTCCCTTTATTGATTTCTCTACTTGACTCTTCTTTCTTGCAAAAAAGATTTCGCATAATAAGATATGGCAAGGTTGGCTGGCTCCATAATGATTCCATTATGTTAATACAACCCTAATGATTATTAAACAATTTAAAACAATAAGGACACCACTTCACCATTTGATAAACAAGAATAATGAATGTAGTGCTAGAAGTATATCAGGGTAAATTTCAAAACAAAGATCAGATTATTTCAATTAGGAATTTAGTCCTATTGAATTACACTACAGCTTAGACCATGTGATCACAATGATCCCTTTTAGGCTTTTAATCTAAAAAACTAAGAGTAAAACCATTCAAGCAATAAAATACAAAAACACAAGGGGTAACATGGACTTATTCACTCAGGGTTTAGAACAGGACAAAACAACATAACAAAAGGGCAAACTACGAACTTTGAACAACTACAGAAACAACTAAACTTGATTAAACTGTCTTGAAGAGAAAAAGAAATTACAAATCTCTTCCCTGCTGCAAAATACCCTTTTATTGCACAGTGCAATTACTTATAATTCAATTATTGAAGTAGTCTTTAAAGACTCTTATAAATGTTTTTACTTCTTTCTCCTTTTCCTAATATCTGACCTTAAGAAAGCAAAACTTACTGTGAGATTTTTTACACTGAACTCATCACTGTAGCATGAAAGGCACTTACAGATCACTTATGGAATCTCCAATTCTGTTGCAACTGCAGGTGAAGAAGGGGTCCCTATGATGATGCTCACTCCCCTTCAGAGTAAAACAAAACTCTACCAGAATAGAGATGACTTTTTTGCAACATTTTTACCATTTGACAAAAGTGCAAGCTTAGCAAACTTAGCTCATTATATTTTAATCAAAACATTTTATTTACAAACTTATGTCATTTTAAAGACTTCACATATGGTAACATTTTTGCAAAGCTAACCATTACCTCCAGTGTAGGGTTTCCAGTTATAATACTTTCCCCGGAAAGGCATATTGTCAAAATCCGCACATTGCTTTTCTCGAAAATCACGGGCCCCTGAAGGACATGGCTAAAATAATAAAGCCAAAAAAAGGTTAATTTCTTCCAAATATCAACATAAAAGGAAATGCTTATATTGCAGACATAATCATGCAAGAGACCAGGAGGTGGTTCCCTGCTTTATCTTGCGGCTCTGATTCTGAAACTTGCTTCATTGCTTTACAGTTGAAGCATCTATTTTGCAACATTAGGCTGGCATGAAGTAACTGAAGTAATTTCAACAAAGGTGTTGCATAACAGTTGCCATAAAACTTGACAATCAGAATCACGTCAAACTATGCTTCATAATCAATCCATCAGCTACCTCCTTATAAACACACATTAAAAACAGCTGAAAAAATTAAAACAAAAACATTTTAGTAAGAGCTGTAGGGTCAGTTATACTGTACTAAGCAGCTGTACTGAGACATGTTATTAAGACATCAAGAAAAAAATTAAAACACTTTTCTAGAGCTGTGTCACCTCTGCTTACTTGTAGCCTTGACAAAAGCATTGTGTTAAAGCTGCAAATGAGAATAGTTACCATGTTTAGATTGATATTTACCAGTCTCCAAGCATGCAGAAATAAAAACTGCTTTGATTTAAATCTGCATTACCAATTACAAAACTGTGAAGTATGTTTTTTACTTGGAATAAGGGTGGATGTAAGTAAAACCCATCTCAGAATTATAGGGGAAACATAATTCTTTGCTATTTCTTACTTTTTTCATCAGCAGGTTCAAAATAATGACAACTGATCTTGAATACACCCAGAATTTAGATAGCACATTAAACATTGTTATCAATGTTTAAGTACCTACTGAAATGGCAAGCTTCATCAGACAAAGTATTTGAAATACAGATTAAAATCATTTTTAGACTGAAAAAGAATTTGCTTGACAGAAATCAGAGTTGTTAATAACTATTACTATTTTATAAGCAACAGAAGAGTCAATCTTATGGCAGTTTTACTTGTCTTCCTACGTATCTAAGCCAGTTAGCACAGTTCAGGAATCTGAAATGCATTCAAGTGAAAAGGTATCTATAAACATAGATGATAAAAATTTACTGCACAATGCAAATATTAACATAATAATTATGACTCTCAGTATACATTAATCAAGCTCTTATAGCTCATTGCAACATGATTCATTTTTCTCCAATTTTGAACCTGTTGTGATATAAATTAAAATAGCGGACATTAGACAGTATTTAAATTTTATATTTTCTCTATAAATGACTCTATTAGCTCCTAAATAAAAATATATTTTTAATATAATGCATTTACTGGTGAAAAAAAATAGTGTAACTACTTTCATTCAATAATCCTTCAGATTGTAACGGTGAGAATAAAAACTATGTAAATAAAATAACAGTAATTTTTAAAACATTTTTAATAGTACCACAAATTAAGTTTGCCTCTTTGCGTCATATTCTCCAAGCAGTAGAAGGACCAGTCTTCACACCAGCACTAGCCCGGTTTAACATCTTTGTAGGAGGCATGGATAGTGGGATTGAGTGCACCCTCAGCAAGTTTGCTGACAACACCAAGATGTGTGGTGCGGTTGACATGCTGGATGGAAGGGATGCCATCCAGAGGGACCTTGACAGGCTCGAGAGGTGAGCCTGTGTGAACATCATGAAGTTCAACAAGGCCAAGCGCAAGGTCCTGCACATGGGTTGGGGCAATCCCAAGCACAAATACAGGCTGGGCAGAGAATGGATTGAGAGCAGCCCTGCGGAAAAGGACTTGGGGGCGTTGGTTGACAAGAAGCTCAACATCACCTGGCGATGTGCACTAGCAGCCCAGAAAGCCAATTGCATTCTGGGCTGCATCAAAAGAAGCGTGACCAGCAGGTCGAGGGAGGTGATTCTCCTCCTCTACTCCGCCCTTGTGAGACCCCACCTGGAGTACTGCATTCAGCTCTGAGGCCCCCAAAGTAAGAAGGACATGGATTTGTTGAAGTGAGCCCAGAGGAGAGCCACAAAGATGATCAGGGGGCTGGAGCATCTCTCCTACAAAGACAAGCTGAGACAGTTGGGGTTGTTCAGCCTGGAGAAGAGAAGGCTCTGGGGGAACTTTACAGCAGCCTTCCAGTACCTTGAAGGGGCCTACAAGAAAGCTGGAGAGGGACTTTTTACAAAGGCAGGTAGTGATAGGACAAGGGGTAATAGCTTTAAACTGAAACAGGGTAGATTTAGATTAGATGTAAGGAAAGCTGGAAAGGAGCTTTGCACAAAAGGCCCTGGGGGCCTGGTGGACACCAAGTTGAACATCAGTCAGCAATGTGCTCTTGTGGCAAAGAAGGCTAATGGTATCCTGGGCTGCAATAGGAGTCCAGGGAGGTGATCCTTTGCCTCTACTCAGCACTGGTGAGGTCACACCTACAGTACTGTGTTGAGTTCTGGGCTCCTCAGTACAAGAGAGATACTGCCATACTGGAGAGACTCCAATGAAGGGCCATGAAGGGTCTGGAGCATCTCTCATATGAGGAAAGGCTGAGAGAGCTGCGATTGTTCAGCCTGGAGAAGAGAAGGCTCAGGGAGGGATCTCATAAATGTACAAATACTTGAAGGGAAGGTGTAAAGAGGATGAAGCCAGGCTCTGTCCAGTGGTGCCCAGTGATGGGACCAGAGGCAATGGGAACACATGGAAACACAGGTTCCTGCTGAACATCACAAAACATTTTTTTTACTGTAAGGGTGACCAACCACTTGTACAGGCTGCCCAAAGAGGTGGTGGAATCTCCCTCCTTGGAGATATTCAAAAGCCATCTGGTCATGGTCCTGGGCAACCTGTCTGAGGTTTGAGCAAGAGGGGCTGTACAAGGTGACATCCAGAGGTCCCCTTGTAAGCAAAGCGAAGTCTTTCTTTTACCCTTTTAAATACTGATTCAGTTTTTGCCACAATTTAAACTGCTAAAATCACTGGTTTTATCCTCTTTTATTCTGGAACACACATCTGGCAGTCTGACAGAAAACCAGCTACACACAGGTATGCATAGCCTGCCATCTCCCTGGCTGGGAAAACCTGGGAGCAGCTAAAGGAACTGTGGGAGCAAAGCCCCTCATACAATGTTCCTGCTTTCCTGATTTTTCATCTGGTTTTGGTAGTCCTGAAGATTAAATTCTGGTTTCCTATACTGCAAGTACTGTTAAATTAATTTCACAAATGAACATACCGATGATATCAAAGCTTTTATATAACCTGCTGTCTTTGCCTCTAAAAATGCAAAGCCATCAATCCATAGACAGATTTGGTGACCTTCGCAGTAAAATGAGCTTTCATTTTAGTGGCTAAATCCTCTCCGTGAATACTGACAAGTGCTAGCCCTCATCTCAGGATCTTGCTCTTTGTCCAAATCATTTGTCTGAATTCAGCTTTCATGTGGATTCACTAAAGTTTTCAGGCAGTCCTTCTGCAGAATGCAGTTACCAAATCATAGCCTGAGATCTGCAATATTCTGTGATCCAAAGCACAAAACGCAACTTGTAAATTTTTTGTCATTGTTGCATAACTTTCCTATCCTTTTTAGTATCTCACCAATATTGAGAGGAAGTAGAACTAAAGGCTATGACCTCAAGAAATGCATTCAAAATTGGGCTTGACAAACCTGATCACCTTCTACAACAAAGTAACCTGCTTGGTTGATGTGGGTCGAGCAGTGGACAATGTCTACCTCGATTTCTCCAAGGCTTTCAATACCATTTCCCACAGCGTCCTCCTAGAGAAACTGATGCTTTATGGTCTAGATAACGGGTCTGTGCAGTGGGTGGGGAACTGGCTGACAGGCCGCACTCTGAGGGTGCTGGTAAAAATAGCTCCTTTTCAAACTGGCAGCCCGTCACAAGTGGCGTCTCCCAGGAACCGATATTGAGCAAACACTGTTTAATATCTTCGTAAGTGATTGGATGAGGGGATCAAGTGTACCCTGATGAAGTCTGCTGATGATACCAAACTGAGTGGGGAAGTGGACACTTTGGAAGGGAGAGCCACCCTGCAGGAAGACCGGGATAGGCTGAAAGGGTGGGCTAACAACAACCCTACGAAGCCCAACTAAGAAAAATGTAAGGTCTTGCACCTGTGAAAACAATTCAGGAATACAGCACAGGCTGGGATCTACCTGGCTGGGGAGCAGCTCTGTGGAAAGGGAGCTGGTGGTCCTGGTGGACAACAAGATCAATATGAGTGAGCAGTGTGCTGCTGTGGCAAAGAAAGCCAACGGGATGCTGGGTTGCATCAACAAGGGCGTCACAGCAGAGATGAAGAAGTCGTTATCTCACTCTGCTCAGCGCTTGTCAGGCCACATCTGGAATACTGTGTTCAGTTTTGGTCCCCGCTATACAAACAAGATGTGGACAGGCTGGAGAGGGTCCAGAGAAGGGCCACAAAGATGATCAAAGGACTGCGAAGCTTCCCTGTATGAGGAAATGCTGAGAGAACTAGGTTTGTTCAGCCTTGAAAAAAGAACGCTTAGGGGAGACCTTATCAGCACGTTCCAGTATTTAAAGGGTGGCTACAAAGAAGCTGGAGACTCCCTTTTTACAAGGAGTAACACAGAAAAGACGAGGAGTAATGGGTACAAGTTACCCTGGGGAGATTCCGACTGGACACAAGAGGAAAATTTTTTCACAATGAAAACAATCAGCCATTGGAATAATCTCCGCAGGGAAGTGGTGGATTCCCCAACATTGGACACTTTTAAGATTCAGCTTGACAAGGTGCTGGGCCATCTTGTCTAGACCGTGCTTTTGCCAAGAAACGTGGGAACAGATGATCCTTGAGATCCATTCCAACCAGGTATTCTATGATTCTATGCAAATGATTAGGTATAGAAATGGAAAAACATTACTGCAAGGTAAGCTACAATATGCATTTACAAAATGTCAGCTCTTTGGCACTGTCTCTTTGTGTACGTAGTCTTTTCCCAAAGTAACTGCTTCTCCTTACTGGGTAAGATATTTCACTTTTTTCATGCAGCTACAGTACATGGATAACTCTTGTCAAGCAACAGGCTGCTTATGTTTCCAAATGTCCTTTTAGGAGACCACAAATCATGAGGTAGGAATCTATCAAATGTGTAAGAACTTAAAATCTGGTCTGAAGAAGGCCCTGAGAAGAAGATGATGAAATAATTAAAATTTTGACTTAAAAAAAGCATTGACTTTAATAAGAACATAAAAATTTTTAAGACTGAAGCAAAAATAAGTTGTCCAAAGAGTGTTAATGAATCATTGAACCAACACTGACAGACATCAAACATCTTATCTCACAGAACTCTGTTTCTCTTGGAGCTTAAAGTTAGGCAGACTTCAGTAATTGAACTCATTGTGTTTCCTATTAACAAAGGGCTATACTACACCTCACAGCCTGAAGAGTGACAGTTGAAACTCAGGTACTGTTCCAAGACATAGCTCCTCACATGAATGTATTTTAGAAAAAATAGGCTTGAAAATATTAGAATTATGAAAGCAACAAACAATATCTGTGAATGTATACATAATGGAAGGAACCAACAAAAACCATTTGCCTACATTTCTATTAAGAGAAAAGACTGAAGAACAAGAATCTTTTAAAGGTATGTATACACACATTTTTATATAGGTAAACCATTCACAGTACTTGTAAGCAAAACATGTTTCCACTGTATATAAAAAATTAGGAGGCTTTTACAGTTTTAGTTGTGCATCAAATTAAGCTTCACATCCTATGCATATTTTAAATCAGACAATGAGTTACTTCGAGTAGTTATGTACCTTGCAATTCTATCAGCATTTTGTATTTTTTTTTAATTAAAAATACTTTGGTTGGAAAAATACATATATTTTTGTTAGAGATAGTGTGGTTGGTGGTAGAAAATCAGTTTCTGATGAGTGTGTTCTTTCTACCACCCTTTTGTTTCCAGAAGTCATTAGCTAATGTTCTTTTCTGCTGATCTCAATGTTTCCATTAGCAGATGCCTTTTGAATTAAGAAGTCATATATGGCTTTGGAAGTGTTTGATGAGAAATAAGCCTAGCAGGAGTGTGTGCGCTGTTTCCAAAGAATTAAATTGGTCAAAAGAAAGGGCAACAGAACTAACTCATCTCTGAAAGACAAATGAAGCCAAAATGAGGGGGTTTTTTGTTTATGAATAGTAAGAGCTTTAGGGAGTGCTACATTGAAAATTACAGATGGACAATGAATGTTGACACTGCAAAAAAGATGTAAAAACAATACATTTTTTCATAAAAACAATGACAGATTTGCATGCTTTTAAAGCTTACATTAATCAAACATACCATTCCATTAAAAATGCCAAGCACTAAGGACTATCATAAATCTTGAAATAAAATCTACTAGTATCAGCAATTCTTAGTTATGTAGAACCCTATATTATTACTATAAAAGAAACTGACAACAATTGTCAAAACCATTAAGGCAGTAAGTTTAAACTTCTGCAAGTACCAATATGTTTATACACAGGAAAACCATACCCCAAAAATACGCTTAAAAAATGATTCACAGTCAAAATGTAAGAACGGTATTTCCAAATTGCCTGGCCCAAGTCTGCAATTGTTCAAGATTTGTTTTTAAGACCTAGACAACAAAATGCAAAGTTTCCTTTTGAATATCTTTTTTAAATTATTGATTGAAATTTGAGTATAGGTAGGGGACAAACATTTTGGAATAGAGGACTATAATTTTGAAAGATTTTGATAAATTGGAGCAGTTTGAAATAAAGCAATGGATGCAATTACTACACTTGAAGAGGAACAACAACTGTGCAAGCACAAGCTGAGAAATGACTTCCCAAACAGCATCTCTTAAGAAAGGGATTTGGGCATTACAGATCAACAGAGACGAAATAAATATTGTCACTCCTGTAAGAAAAATGAACACAATACCAAAATGAAAATTAATCCTGTGCAGAGGTCTGGGCACCACACTTCAAGAAGATGTGCGCTACTGGGATCCCAAAGGCTATTAACACAGAGACTATCTAGTGTAAAGAAGACTAAGAAGAGACATGATAGTAGTCTGCGAACACACGAAATGCTCCCATAGAGGGAATATTATCAGCTGTCTTCTTACTGGGGAAAGAGTAAGTAAGGGTCTTAAAGGATGGGAAAACATACACTGTACTTTATGAAAACTGTCCTGACTGTAAGGATATTGAAGAATCCTAGTATGTCCCAGACTGGAGGTATTTCAAAACAGGCCAGCTACCTAACTATCAGTTAAAAACTGTTTAATGACAGTTGATTTTGCCTTTAAGCCAGGGAATAGACTGAATGGCCTCGTTGGATACCCTCTAGATGTTCCTTCTGTGACCCTATAAGCCTCCTCTCAGTAATGGAGAATAAGGGAAGCAAAACCAACTAAGAATATAACTGTCTGAAAAGTGTCTGACAATAAGAAATAAAATATGGTAAGAATAAAACAAATCCTAGCAACATTTCAACAGTATCACTAGGTAGCTATAGTACAAATGTTAATAATAAAAAAGCATTACAAAATTTCTATATATTTGTGAGGGAGCAGGATTACATAGTATGCAAACTTTCTTGTATACTAGTTCCTGTGGCAGATGCTAAATAATATCTACTGGAGATAAACATTTTAAGTAAGAATACCTGGACAATTACCTCACCGGAGTCCACAAAGAGTTAAGGGAGTAGGGCTCCAGCATGCCCATGTGAATTTTTTAACAAATCTTAGACTGTGTGTACAAACTGAAACAGTGCTAATGCAAAAAGGTCATTATTTGAAAAGGACAAACAGAACATTCTATGTTACAGTTTGCCTGACAGCCATTTCAAATAAACAGAAAAGTTGGCAGAGGCTTGACTAATACAGGTTTAAAAGAAAGATAAATAATAATACAAATCAGTACTTTGTGTAAGAATAGGTTTTATCAACTAAAGCTTTTTACAATTCCTGGTTAAATTAAAAGGATAATAGAATAAGCTTAGATATGATAAGGCATTTACCTTAGTCATACACAACATCCTGACTGAAATAAACAGAAATAAACCTGTACTCATTCAGGAAAGCATACATTAAATTTATTAAATATTGACTGACAGATTTCAACAGACAGATTTCAATACGGAATCATCACTTAGTTGGTGAATTCATAAGCAAATTTCCTATCAACTGTAATAAGAAACACACTCAGTGTTACTCAACATTTTCATTTGTGAATTGGAACTATGAAAAAATTTCTTACTCAGGAAGTCTTCCAATTACAAAAAGACCATGTGAGTGAAAACAAAGAGGAAGGAAGATTCATTACAGTGGATCATCTGATAAGCTGGATCCATGCAAATGAAAATTGCACAAAGGCAGCCAAATGCAAAGATACACATCTACGGAAAAAAATAAATCGGTCAAAGTTTCAGAATGGTGCACTATAATTTGGAAGGTTGTATGACTGGAAAACTTTTACAGCTCCTACTGGACAAGCAGCTCAGCTTCAGTTTCTCTTACAACACTGTGGCCAAAAGGCCTAACACACTTCTTGGCTGTGTGAACAGAGCAGCTGTGATTAGCAGCAGGAAAGTTAATTTTTAATTTGGAAATTTGTAGTACTGCGTAATAATGAGAATAACCTCCACAGAGAAGTTTGCAGAACTATTACGTATGTTAGCTAGTAATGATTGTAAAAATAAATTTTTTTCAAGGAATCAGCATATTAACCATTTTTTCCTGAAATGTATCAAAAGATAAACAGGTGAAACACCTTTAGGTACAGACTCTCCCACTGTTATGAACTTTCTTGATGAAGAAGAAAATTAAGATGGATCTGAAGCTAAAATAATATGAAAGCCTGTTTATGTTTGTAGTGCTACTGACTTGGAAACTTACTAGTGAAATTCTTTATTGGTGTGTAATTTTTTCTGGTTCAATTTTTAACTTACTTGAATTTGTAATTTAGGTTCATAATTTGATTTTATACATTTATAGTCTGCCCCATCCCCTCAGTGGTAGTTCATGATGAGCTCAGCTCTAAAATAAAACTGCATGATCATTCTGGTAATACAAGAACCAGTGGATACCTGATGGCAAAACAGCAGGTTTAGAACACATGAAAAGAAATAAATTTTCGCAGAATGTATAAGAGGATTGTGTTACACATTAGCACGGGAAGTTATACAGGTATAAAAAGAATAAGAGGGTTTAGAAGTCTATTCATGGAGGATGCTTCCATTTGTGGCAGTTAATGTGGTACAGATACAATGTGGAGCTCAGGACATCTTTAGACACCCACCTTCTGGAAACTCAGATGTTATATACACAGTAAGTCATGCCTTGGCTGCCAAAACTTTATAATTTTTCCCTAAATACCTGTTATTGCCCCCTGCTGGGAGACAAGACACTGGTCTAGACAGATCTTTGCTCTGATATGGAATGCTCCTTGTTCACCTTTAACATGGATGCTCAAGTCAAACTCATTCCAGGCCTTAATGTGAAGGCACCAGCTAGGTATCACATTTGAGATAGGGATCCTAACATTTAGCAGAACACGTAGGATGCCTGCAATATAGAAATGCCCTACAGGACTGTTTGCCAATTCACAGCTTTTCTGAACTGGGAAAAAATGCAGCCATTGCTGCTAAAATGTAAAACAGACAAGTTGATTATACTTCTACAGTGGAACAGAATTTACTTACATCAGTATTACAGGAGCGATACCGCTTCCTTTCTCCAAGACAATATTTGCCTCCGCCTGAAGGCCTGGAAAAACATGTTTTATGTGTTAGTATATGTATTAGTACAAGCACAAGTTCATGAGACATACTAATGCATTATTAGTATAAATACAAGTCCAAGAGATACATATTATATAAATTAAAAAAAACATACATGGAGGTTTTAAGGTGAGATTTTTAAATATTTTATTTAATAAGAATTGTAGCATTGACTTGAATTGGAGCAGACAGAAAACAATACTGGGTACTTGAAAATCATCACTCATATAGTATTCATCTAGTTTGCATAGATCCCAAGCCATGCAGTTTAACTGCATTTTGAACATACTGAAAAGGCATTGGTTTTAATTATTTCCTTGCTTTGTAAAACTAGAATGAGAAATGCATAAACAATCTATGTGATACATTTTTTTCTTCTTAATCTTCTCATATTACACTTGAAAATACAAAAAAATTAAGAAACACTGCCTGCTAAATACTGGAGTCAGCAAAGACTACATTTTCTAGTTCAGGAATCTGATTCTGATTTGAATTAAGCAGTATTAAATCTGAGGAAACTCCAGAGTAAGCAGGTTTCTATAAGTGTGAATAAGACATTGGCTCTTGAATTCCAAAACTTTTCAAGAACCTTATCAATCTTCCACAGAGGTCAAATAATGAATTAACATTGGCTTAAATTGAAGATTAATCAGACATCAGCTCTTTGGCTCATAACTTGAAAGCAGAAAGGAAAAACACTTGGTGTTTGTTTTATAATAAAGAAATAAAAGAATTTCCAATTAACTAAAAAGAAAATAAATACTATTTTTCACATCACAGATATTTAAACCAGACAACACTATTATTGAACCAAAAGTAATTTTCTTCCTAATGCAGACATACCTCCCCCACAAATGCATTTGCTTGCTATACTGTTAAACATTTAAAATTTAATCACCTTTCAACATACCAACCCATACACATGGTGACAGGAGTAGTTAAAAAATCTTAGGAGATTACTCATGCTCCAAACAAACAATTCACTAGCATTTTTACATACTGTTGTGGAAAAAAAAAAAAAATTAAATTTATTATTCTCTCAGTAACATAGTCTGACATGTTATTGATGCAAATGGATAATTTTTGCTTTTGAATCCATTCAGTAAGTAGTGCTGTTATCCTTCTGCAAAGACCTATAGCTGTGATGAGGGAACCAGAATAGGGCAAGTAGCAACAGAAAAAAGCAGTGAGTCATTCAGCAAAGAACAGCAATGGAAATAAGTAAGCATTCCTCATCTGAGAAGCACTAGTGACAGAGAGAAGAGCACTTACCTGACAGACCTTCTCTGGAACAGTGTTCAGGACATTGGAAAGCAGACAGATGACAGAACCAGTACAGATAGACACAATAGATCTAGCTGTAGTGGAGAAGCTGGCCCCTCTTGAGAGAGAGTAGATGGACCAATAGGGAGCAGTGGCAAGGACAGAAGTTGCTGAATTGTTTTAAGAGTCAGTGGGAAGTCGCAACTAAGTGTTGGACATGACAGCATATAAATGTATTGTATGCAACATAATATTACTAACTATGGTTTATATGTAAGCAGTTGTATGCAAAAGCTTGGAAATACTGTGTTGGTTTTTTTAATAAGTAACTGGCAAAAGTTATTTTACATGCTAGACAAGCATTAGAAGTAATATGTCTTAAGAAAGAAATCTATATAAGGCATGATTTAAATATATTTTGCATGAACAGCAAGTTGCAGAAAGAAAACCATTCTGGTTACTACTAAATATAAATCCAGCTATATTTACAGTACATAAGATACATCAAAAATGTTATAAGCATGTCTAGTGAACTTCTCCTGTTTAAGTGTTTCTGTCTGCTATTTTGAAGACAAATGTTGGCAAACTAGCAAAACATTTTTACAGTTAACATGTGAAACCACAGTTTTGAATAATTTCCAAATGCGTCTTTTTGTTGGCTCCGGCTTACTTTAGCTACTTACGCTGGACTGTCACAGTGTCTTATAGATGAGGAGACTCCTCCCCCGCAGGTCCTGCTGCACTCTCCCCATATTGACCATGGACCCCAACCCCCATCTATGCTCTGGGGCCAAGTGCCAAAAGGTACGCACTCTCCCTGATAACACCACTGAAAGATTTCACAAAAAAACACAAAATTAGCTTCCAGGCTGACAAGAGTTATCAGGACAGAAAAATATAAGGGTTAGGCAATGACCAATTATAGGCATTAGCATTCTCTGTATAGATAACAAGACTAATATTTTACTTTTTCTAGCCATGTTTAGACATTGGTGAGGGTGTGTGTGATTTGTTAATTGTCTTCACTAAGTCCTGAATTATATAGGTCTCTAACACACACCACAAGTTAAAACAAGCTTAAAATAAAGATTTGCTTTTTTCTTCATACATGCTCCTTAATGTTTCACATTAAAGGAACTGCAAGTTGCTTACATTCTTTTAAACACTGAGATTAATTTCTAAGATTAGTTTAGTAAAACACCCTCCACTTAGGATTCACGTAGGGGCTTCATTACACAAAATGAAAAATTCCCCCAATGGTATTTTTAAGAAAGTATTCCCTTACATTTTAAAAAAAAAAATCTGGATGAGGTCACAATGGAAGAAGAATTTGTTGCAGTACTTGATTTATACTAACCCTACAGACATAATAAAAGTCGTGCCAAAGCATTAGACATGGTACAGAAAAGCATTATATAATAGTGGCTGGCCACTTGTTCAGGGACAGAATGAACCTGCATACTTCACCCATGCAAACACCTAAACTTTGCCATATTGTTACTTACATTGGACATACAAAATGACAGACAATTTGCACAAATGGCTAATTGTTAAAATATGTTTATCATTTCCTTAGTCAGAAACGTTTTTAAAACCATTCAGAAATAATCCTGGAGCCCATAGTTTGATCCACATTCTGGTGTCTACTACATCACTGAGAATCTGAAGTAGCTCAGATAACCCTTTCCCACCGTTATAGGCTTAGATGACAGAGTAGAGCACAGCCCCAGGTGTACTGTGACCTGAATCTGCACATTTCACTTCCAAAAGGTGGGCATCTGCTGTTTTAACTCCCTTGAATTCCCGTAACAGACACAGTATTGAGCCTCTCCAAAAAGAAACCCAGACAACTTCTGTGCCCAAAATCAGCCATATGAATTTGACAAAAAGCACTGAGACATGCACAGAAGACGTGGACAGACAGACATACCCCTGTCTACCAATAAGCACTACTGGAAGACTCAGTGTTGACTTTATACTAATAGGTACAGCAAAGCCAGGTTTTCTCTTCTCCCGAGTCCTAAGGCTCATCTACAGGCTTAGTCCCAGCAATGTGGGACATAAATAAACAAGTAAAGACAAGCATTCACAATGACCTGAATTACTCGAGATTTTTCTGAAAGCAACTGTAAAGAGAATTTAACCTTCAATCATTACTCAGAAAAAAAAAAAAAAGTAATAGGACTTTGAAAGAACGAGGATTGTAGAGAGTGTTAAAGAAAATGAATAAAAATCCTTATTTTTTCATTACAAATTTCATTTTGAATAAAAGGTACGTCTAGACTGTCAAACATGTCAGAGTCTAAGTATGTAGCTCTCAAGACTGTACATTAAAATGATACAGTAATATTAAAATGTGTAGCTTATCATCAGCAAATGCACCTAGATACAAGATAGTTTTGCATACGAACACATGCTAGCATTTAATATAAAGTTTCCTTATTATAATATTTCCTTGTTATTTCCACATTAATAAGTGAAACCTGTAGCATTCTTTTTCTAGCCACATTCATTCTTGTTTCTCCTCTCAAAACATTTTTGTCCTCCATGACCTCTTTCCTCTGTATGCACTGTACCTGCTTCAAAACACAGCTATTACAATCCAGCACATTTCTGTTTATAAGCCTCATCCTCTATCAGTTAGAGAGACAAAACCCAAGCATTAATGTGTCTACAGAAAAGATAAGGCAGAGTATTTTACATATCAAGTTCAAAACACATTGCCTCTTCTACCATGTCCGGCCAGGACATAGCAGCCCGTATGGTGCTGCGTTTTAGTTTTGTGACCAGCGCGGATAACGCACTGATGTTTTAGCTAGTGCTGAACACTGCTTGCACACCACCAAGGCTTTCTTGGCTTCTCAACCTGCCACGCAAGTGAGCAGGCTGGGGGGAGGCAAGAGGTTGGGAGGGGACACAGCAGGGACACCTGACCCAAATTGACCACGGGGATATTCCATACCCTATAACATCATACTCAGCAGTAAAACTGGGGGTAGGGGTCTTTCCAAAGCGGCCACTGCTCAGAGACTGGCTGGGCAACAGTCTGCTGGTGGGAGGTAGTGACTGATTGCCTTTGATGTCTTGTTCGCTTTTTCTTTCTTTTCCTTTCACTTACTAAACTGTCTATCTCAGTCCATGAGCTTTTCTAACTTTTGCCCTTCTGATTCTCTCCCCCATGCCTGGGGGGTAATGACCAAGCGACTGGGTGAGGGCCTAGCTACTGGATGGGGTCAACCCACCACACTCTTCTTCAGGAAAAAACCCAAAGACACCAGGTCTCATGGAGTTGTACTGAGGAAAGGAGAGTTTATCCTTCTTGAAGACTTCTAAATTTGCAAATCAGAGGTTTATGCCAATGAGCAGGCATCCATCAGAGGAACGTACCCTTCGTATGAAGCTTCTCTTAAATCCAGACTATCACTGAATGTCTGCATAATACATAATGCAGTCCATACAGTGAACGTGCATTTTTAGCTAGCGTAGATATATCCATATGGCACACTGTTTTGCAATGCCTCTAATGGTAAAATTATGATGGAGAATGAATTATTTATGTAACACATGAGGGACTAAAATCTTCTGGTTATCTTCTCATTATAGTGATGAATCAAGTGATAATGATTTTATTAACTAAAGACAATAATCTCCTTGCAGCATTCTATTAAAAATGCCACACAAGTACATGAACAGTTAGCTAATGCTAGTCAAAAGCTAAAAATTAAAATGCTTGTAAAACGTATGCTAACAATTTCATTAAAAATACATTATATATATTACAAACATGTCAAAATCAAAGTTAAGAAATGAAAGACACTCAAAGTTAAACCCACAAGAATATCACATACGCAAAACAGAACATGCAAACCATCCTAACTCTATATTATTATCACCGTATACAACAGGCATGTGCATTTTACCAATGCTGTGTATTTTTCCAAAGCTGTGTAAAATCCCTGTACTCTGTATTTTCCTTTGTCATTCAAACATTGTCTTCCACAATCTCATATTCCCCTGTAAAAACTCCTTAAATGCTGGGGTTTTCTCCTCTACTGAAGTTAAATCTGAGGACTTACTGCTCACTTCAGTGTCTTTTCTTAATTTTCTAATGAAAATTTATCTTTCACCAGAAGCCAGTGATGCACAGAATCCCTGTCAGAGTGATTAAAAATTACCAAAATCTTCATTATTTCTAAAGGGATTACAGAAATATGCTTCCTCCACAGATTATAGCAACCTCGTCTGCTGTAATGAAGTAAGGACTATTGAGTAACCAGTATATGAATAAACAAGAGGAGATGACAGCTATTTTAAAAGAACAATCGTTCATGAAAGATTTAGAACTGAAATGTTAATTCTTCTCTAACATTGAACAAATAACTTGCAATTAGTTCCACTAGAAAGACAGTGGTGATGCATTAGAATATGTACAAAATGTGCAAAAAACCTCTGTGAATAATGTAAGCAGTCTGAAATTTTTCTTATAGAGATCATTAACAATAAAATAAAACATGATATTGTGGCACATTTGAGATCACTTTTATATTAATATTAGCTGTTTAACAGAACTAAGATTTACAATAGTACGCTTTTAGAAAGCTCACACAGAAAGTACTCTGATATTGAGGAAAATTGATTTAATCTTTTGTAAGGGCAAAAAAAAAAGATTAATTCAATTTAAATTTGCCATCTCAATTTTAACAATGTATTTTCAGTCATTGCTTCTACAATTATTTTGCAAGAAAACTTAATGTCCAATAATAACTTAAATCATCATATAATCTAGCTGTTTAAACTGTCCTTTCAGCACACTGTGTTTTCACTTTTTGCACATTTGCCCCTCACTTACATCCTTAGCATGAATCTAAACACTGATGTTAGAAGAGGTTACATTTTTTATTACTTTAAATTCAAAGACAAAATAAACATTCCTATCAGTTTTGTCTTGTTTTATATGCACCATTTCCTCATCAGAGCCTTTTAAAAAAATCTACCAATTAGTTTACCTTCACAAACACATCTTTGGGTACGCCAGAGAGAAACTTCATGTATATTTAAGTTTATTATTACAAATTAGGAAAAAGTGTACCTTTTTGAACCCAGCCAATATGTAAAACCCTTCACCAAAGCATGAACATATTAAAGCTTCAAAACAGAACAGATGTACAAGTTCCATCAGTAGCAAGAAACCACTCTATTCTCTTTCCCTGTATGCAGAAAACAGCTGAGTATCTTTTATGGAAAACACTCCAAAAACCTTCAGGCTTAAGCAGATATCTACTGTGGAAAATTTCAACCCAAAGAGTTAAAAGTTTGGCAGGTTTATATAAGCAACTGAAAGAAGGTTTTATAATAGAGTATTAGGCCATTTTAACTGTAGAAATCCCTCCCAACTCTGCCAATAAGATATTAATGTATACTGCATCAAATTTTGCTTTGAGTTAACAGTTACACCGAATTTACATCAGTGTAACTAAAAAGCAGAAACTGACCCTCCAGATATGATGAAGTACTCTGAGATCTTGTTCGGCCTTTAGAGCAGGGAATGTCATTTATTATATATTTGGACAGAGCCCAGCAAAATAGGGCCTAATTTAGTTGTGGCCTTTAAGCATGACTGCAATATAAATGTTATGACAACAACAACAACAACAACAACAATTTTTTAAGTGTTATAGAATTGTAACCTATTATTTACTCCTTAGTGTGTGGTAAAGGAAACTACACATTTGGAAAGAGCTCATGTTTTCTGTTTTTTTGCTATCAGGAACTATTAATTTACAAGAACTTTTGAAGCTGTAGTTTACAGATACAATTCTCTGCTGTTAACAGGCATTAACAGTTTACCTTTGTAAAACAGTACGGATTCTCTCATTTCCCTCTAAAATCCAATGATGGAACAAGATACTGATGACTGGAAAAAGATGTTTTGTAGAGAGCAAACTGATTAAAGCCTCTGGCAAGTGGACACAGCAACAGTGTCTTAAAACATCTCAACCTGTTCATTACAGTCTCATGGTTTAAAAAATATTAATTGAGGTAAATTGCTCCTTGTCATTGACAAGGAGTGGTTGTTCCAAAATAAACCTATACTGTTGATTTAAGAGTAGGGCTTCTAACATTTTCTATTACTCTAATAAAAGGTAACATTTTTGGTAGAATGCGAAGTTGTCTCTATTTTCATTGGCTAACTCTAAGCACTCTATTTTTTTTAATGACCCCTTCAATGAATTTATTTAACATGGTTTACCAATATTTCCAAACTCAGCATGGAAAAGTCATCAGAACGATAGTAGGTCATGGGCCCTGAATGTAGCCATCAACAAGCATTAATAAACTGTGACAGCTGACCAAAAGCTTTCATTCTTTTTGTTTAAACATCAGATTGCAAGTCAAAATGCAGTGTAATCTTTGTTGAAACTAGCCCAGCTAGCATGGCAAAAGTCAGAATGAGAATAGATGTCAGTAGTCATTGTTAGGAAAAAGTCCAATCTGGAGTAGTAAATCTTATGGACAGATGCAGCAACTCTTGGACAGATACCGGAAATTGTTTAGAATAATAAGCTCTCTTCACTTTGTACAAACCTGCATAAAATGTATTATCTTGAAAAAAGGCATATGGAATTCACTTTTTCCCCAGTACATGTCCTGCAAATTAATAATTAAAATATTTTTCTCTCCTCTTTAAGATCTGTACAGATTTTGCTTTGTAATTGACAAACACTCTTTTACTATTCTTATCTAAAACTAAGTTTCAGAACTTTGAAACTACTGATAATACAGACATTGTTTTAAGATCAAAATTCACGTGTTCAGACAGATATAGTAGCAGTAGACTTATCTATTGCAACATTGACTTTTTGTACTTTTCAGTTAGGTAGAAGAGTTTATCAGGCTGCACAACAAAGTCCTTTAAAGCTAAACAGTTATGCAAGCATAACTTAATACTAAAAGAAAAATTCAAAGTCAAAACAGAAAGGTCACTGGGCAATAGGGGCTTTTAGAAAACCCTTTTATTAATGCAACATCTTTTCTATATGCTTGTATGATTCAGCTTATACCTGAAGGAATAAAGATGGTTTTATCTTCTAACAAAACAACAATTCAGGCTGTAGATCTATGTTACACATTTTCAAAGTCCATGCCAGATCTAGAGTTGTAACAGTCCTTTATGGAAGAGTGCTATAAAATTTAATAAAGATTAAACTAAAGAGTTTTTAGAAAAATTACTCAAAAAATAGAGTATGTAACAGGGCTTTTTTTGATCCAGGCAATAGAATTTTATACTGAGGATAAATGTTTTATTAAATTACATATATAAAATAATTGTGAAATAATTCTGTAGGACACTTCCATTAGGATGCAAATGTATTCTGAAATAATAACTCTTTTTTTGAACTTTTATGATTGCTCATAAGTACTTTAATTTTCTAGTTTTTTCTTCCTGTAGTCTTTAAACAATAAACTGCTTCTTCAAACAATAAATTATTTGTACTCACCCCCTTTTCAATGCTCCCTGTTTGGCAAAGAGTACCTTCAGCTGCTGGAATGCTGTTGGTAACACAGCGGTTACTTTTGCTGAGGCACCAGAGCTCTCTACACACTTCCTAGGAAAGACGGCAGAAGCAAGTTGATCAGAATAGAAGCCTGAAATTGCTTCCAGTCCTCATACACACACATATACACAGATTTGTTTTGAATAGAGACTATTAAGAAGTGGGCTGATGAGATAAATCTATAGATGGTTGTGAAATACTCTGGAGCAATTCCAAAGCCACCATATTTTAACTAAGAATATTCTGCCCAAAAAAATTCTGGAAGCATCAAATTGTAGACTACAAGAATGCGTTTTTCACACATGCCATGCAAGTAACATTTTATAGCTGCTTTTTTCTTGATTAGTGCTAATATTGGTCTTAGTATATTTTAGTGTTGCTGTAAAAGTAGTCTTCAGATGTGCTACTCCATTACTGTCATTATCTGCCTCAAAATTACATGGTAAAAGGATACTAATAATTTTGAAATACGAAATGGCATCAATTATTTTTGTTTCCTTTAGTTAAAACCAAAGTTTGTGAGCTCAGACTACTTGCACTCCTCTCCTGTAACACCTACCAAACCAGTGCATGTGTATTTAGTGCAAATGGAGCTATGTACTAAAATATTTCCTTTAGGCTTTTTAGATTTGTGGCTGATATTTCATAAATGATTTAGACTACCCTACTTTCCTATGTTGCCAGTGTTAAACAAACACAGGTTTTCAAATCAGCTTTTTTCCTACCATATTTTCTCATTTGGTTTTGCACAGTTACTCATTTAAATTAAATTAGTTTTGTTGACATCGGAGATTCATTGTTAAAACTATCTAAGGGTTTAAATTTGTAATATAGACATGATCCAAAGTTGGCTGAACACTTGAAATCTTCATAGTTGCTTTAGTTGCCCTTCGATTCGGCTCTGTATGCAGAATGGAATCAGAAGTGTTTTGCTTTTACAGTAAAAGCCTTACATGATAATCTTTGTTGTATTACTTTGAGATCTGTGCAAGATTTTACAACCTGCTTATAGATATTTTCTAAGTATTTTTTAAAATTTGAAAGATACTCAGATCTTTAAAATGATCTTATGATAGTCATTGCTATTTCATTTTATTTAACTGCTCCTTGAAATCATATCCTACAAATAATCCTTGTACAGATTCTATGGCTGAATCTTGGTACAAAGAGCAAAAAGGAAAAGACAGTATGAGTAAATTAAAGTTATTAGGCACCCCCCTGAAGTTCACTTTTCTCTGAGGAAATGAATGAGTATCTGGCACCTAGGCTATCTTTTCTATACACATCAACAGGAACAACTGAAAGTTTCACCCTAAGATTCATGTTGCTTGCATTGTACTGCGTATATAAATGGATTTATTTATACATTAGTTGCTAGCAGGTGCAGTAACAGTTCAACAGTACAAGCTTTTCTTGAATAATGCCAAATTCTTTTCCAAGTTTAAAATCAGCTGGTGCCATTCTTGCAGGATTGTTAATACAGTGTATTTAGTTTCATGACTAGTAGAAGCAAGGTATCTTTTTAAATATCCTTTAAAAACATACCATATTAGAATGGTCTGAAATGATGAGGAATGAGTACTGATGACTTTTGGAGTTTCCATCCCATTTTTGACAATTAGGCCTAAGCTATTTTGTCCTATTTGGTGGGTGGCTCTATGAAAACTTAAGCAAATTGATGAGACTCTTTTTAGGACAAATAATGCCAGTTGTGAAAGCACACTGCAGCCAGTGTAGAACTACCTTACTTTTCAGATTATAATTTCTTGTTGAAGAAATGCAAACAGTATAAATATTTACTTACTTAAATCTCTGAATAAAACACTTGCTTTTGCCACTCAGCTGATAAAATTTTCAGATTAAGATACACACTCACAAATAAATATATGGTTCAAAATATCAAATAGAACAGGGAAAGAACAGAAGACACATCACAAAGATCCTTGAAAAATCTAACTAGATCACAAATTCCACAGCCATTATGATGTTAAAATTCAACACTAAATAAAATTCACTTCTAAATCAATTATGAATCCAAAGTTCAATGCAGTATGGATTTCAAAGTGAAAACCTAAAATTGGTTCCTTTCAGACACAGTGTGAGGTGCACCTGTCACAATCCTGCCTTATTTAGTTTTACATTTAATTTACTTGCTCATTTTTTGGAGCAAAATCAGTGTAATTTACTTGCTCATGTTTCATGTGTGGTTTACGTTGTCAAATCATAATTAAAAGTGTCAGACTGTGACGATTCTGCTTGTGACCTTGTGTTGATTTTGCATCTGATCAAGTTCAAATCTTTAAATTAATAGCTGTGCTGACTTTGTGAAGTTGGTTCAATGTTCTGAAAAGCCAAAAATTCAATTGCATTAAGAAACAAAGATTTCAACCATTCCAATATAGACAGAAGTAAAAAACCAGACCTGGATAACAGTCTGGAATTTGAAAATACCTATATTTCAGGGTGATTTCAATCCAGAATTCTGGTTTGTGCTCCAGAGTTTACATGCAGAATTTCACTTTTGATATGCCTATACAAGTATAACATCTATATATTAACATGTAAGGGGAAGTAATAATTAAAACATGTATTTCATTGCCAGGCTAAGGTATCCATAAACGAAAGTATTTTACAATTTCCTTCCAATAGGATTCTTTCTGTATACTCAGGATTCTTCACGGCACTATACTCTTCCAAATTCACTGCACTAACATCACCCAGACTTTTTAATTCCAAACAAATAATCAGCTGAACTCTGTGAATTAATGGATACAGCACTCGAAAACTATTTTAGTCATTCATCTGTTTCCAGGATAATTCTACACATGTTAGCTCACCTCCCTACTCCACAAAATGAGAAAAATATTTTCCTTCTTCCTAAATTGTTTTGGGAGATAGAATGAAAAGCACTATATCAAAACTAGATATTATTACTGACATAGTCTGGTAGTCCCTTATTGAGACCTTAATTTCAGCAGGAGTTTGCCTCAGTAAATCCCTAAAGACAAAATGAAAGTAATGTAAAAATACTACAGGCTGTATCATACTATTAATATTTGAGCAAAAACCTCTGCTTAAATCAGAAAGGAGTTCTGTTTCAGACAGACATACAATATCCCAAAATCAACAGAATATTTCCTTATGGAAAACTATGCAAAACACAGAGGATTTATTAACTAAAATAACACAATGTATCAACTTGTAGAAGTAATTCATATTAAAAACAAGAAATTAAAGTATTTTTGTAATTTCTTTTAAATATAGCCAAACTTATTTAAGAAGTTGTTTATTTTCCCCTGCTGTTTTGCATTTAGAAGAAAGAATAGAATCTGAAGTACATTCTCCATCACCCTGTACATGAAATGAAGAATAACATTAATAGTCATTTGAAAGCAAATAAGATATCTAAAAAAAAAGTGGAAAATCCATCTATGCTGTTATTTCATTAAATGAAAATGGAATTATACCAGGTACTCCTATGGCTATGTCTTCTTTATTTTCAGCTTATTTTGGAAAGTTAACAGAGAAATTCTGACTAAGGTGCATAATGCTTTCTCTTCTCCAGCTCAACCCTATACATGGTACTACCTTAGTTTCATAGTTACTGATTAGAGCTATTTCCTTACTACCACCATCCTATCTGTAACATCTCTAAGCAACTGTTTTTAATAAGCCAGCCTTAAAAACATGTGAGGAACTGCCCTGGAAAGGCCAGGCCCAAAATCACTAGTAGAAAGTATACCGCTTTTTTTCACACTAACACGCACACACGCATGCACGCACACCCACCCACCCGCCCCCACCCACCAACATATGGTGACCCTATAGGGTAGCCTTTTCTTCATTAGCAGACACAGGATGAAGCTAACATATTTTTTGCCAACCTTAAATTTGTGTGAATAATTTACTGAAACTGAGAGAAAGAAGCATAATCTGAAAATTAATCAATGACCTCAAAGTTGGTCTCCAAATGTGTGGATTTACTAACTACTAATTTGTAAAGCAAACAAGGGAAAGTGTTGTAAAATCCAGGAAACATAAACTGAAGCTGAGGCCTTTCACAAGATCAAGACAAGATAGATGACAACCTGTAACGGTGTATCTTAGGGCTCCATGACTTCAGTTTGGAATTCGGATGCTTGTATTTGCAGTAAATTAAACAAAGCTGAACCCATCTAGAGAAAAAAAACAGCAAATCAAATTACCTTCCTTTTGCCTAAGTGTTATCAATGATGGAGCCTTCTTCTGTTGTGTCATGCAGAGTTACTTATAGGCATTTCAAATTATGTAACATCTAAGCATCCTATATCATAATCATCATAAATGGTAACAATACAGCACAATGACAACTCAGTAATAAGAGCAAAGATCAAATTGCTGTGCTGTTCTTAATGTTTTCAACACTAATGAGTCTCCAACAAAAGTTAGCAGTTTGGCCCATAATAAAAAAAATAAGATGGGAAATACATTCACAATGCGTATTAAACTATGATAATTTGGGAGTTTCATTTTTTTGTTCATACAATTTTAAAATGTTAATTAGAATTTTATGTTACTTCAGCATGTTTAATCTGTAATATGCTGCACCTCTTGATGAGCATTTGCTAAAATAGAGCATAAAAATAATTAGCTTGAATTGTAACTTACAAGTCAGACCTGAAAAGCATCAACCTAGGTATATTCAGCCCCACTGCTGAAATACTGCTGGCAACACAATTAAAAACTAGGAGACTGTAATTATGGGTGAACTTCAGAAGGTTCAAAGTTTAGTTCAGATAAGCACCCAAAAGTTACCATTTTAGTGCTCCACTACCAAATGCTCATTAAGTGGTGCAGCATGTTATGAATCACAACATGCTGAAAGAATGTGAAACAGAATCCAAAGCTTAAGTCGTACATTCGTATTATGTTACCAGCATTCTTTCCTAAATATTGGGTGCTTATGTGAACCTTATGGAAACTACAGAAGCCCCACAAGATCAATCACCTCCAAGTAGCATCTTCCCTTTCAAACCCATGCAACCTATCTCATCTTTATTCAAACCACATTC